TCAACTTCCAAACTCTACTTTGGTTATTCTAGTTGCTAAGGTACGTTCAGCACCAAGAATTTTCCCTTGCATTGCTCTATCTCCAAATCCTCCAGGAACAAGGACACCATCAACTCCCTAAAGCTAAATATTAGTGCAATTTAAAAGTAAAAAGTAGTAGCAACTAAAGAAAGGAGTTTTATAACTAAAGTAACAAGTGACTCATTTCAAAAGTCTAAAAACAAACCTTCAATAACCTCCATGCAACCTTGTAAGAAATACCATTCTGCAACATTAAAATAAAACAAACAATTGTCAAAATTGAGATAAATAACCAACAAATGTTTAGATAAAAGAATTCAAAACATAGAGTAACCTCTTTTTTTGTTGAATCTTCAAGGTTACTAGCCAGAATTCAATTCATAATTTTTTTCTTGAGCCATTGAACAGAGGAATGAACTAATGCCTGCATTCATGATGAAATGTCAAAATCTTATTCCTCTTGCTTCTATTCTAAGCCATGTTCAAGCATAATAGAGATAAGCTCAACACAACAGTTACATGCTGTCAAAATATAAAGGAATCATCGATCAAAAGATTTGGATGTTTTATCTCTCAATAGGCGAGTTATTCCAACACAATGACATAGGTATACAAAGAAAATAGTCACAATTGACTCTACTTTTAGAACAAAAAATTAGAATCTTAAAGCCTCATACATTTCCCCACCACATCAATGCAAAACTGCTAATTGCAAAAGTATAAAAGAATAGCAACCCATTGGTTCATGCAGCATGTCATGAACATCAACTCTAGAGGACCATTCCTTTAAATGTGGCGCTTGAGCTCTCTTATACATGATAAACTCACCATATAAGACTTCCACTATATTAGATAACAAGTGTTTTGTTTCAATAAGTTCAACCCCAAAAAATTAAGAGACTATGAGAGACAAACCCATTGAGTAGCAATTATTACACAAAATGCCATATTCACAAAGAGACATAAACACAAGTTAGCATTTAATCAAGTTATTAGCCTAAAATAGAACATAAGTTTCTAATATAATAGATTTATTCATCATTAATCATAACTTCTATTTGTAATCATTGGTGCTCACTCCCTAAGGTTATAACTAAGGTACTAAGTTGCTTAGTTAGAGGTATTAGATCCTAATTGTAATCGATGCATGGATTATGTAACTCTCAATCATCACTCACCCAGTAATTAAAGCATTCATTAACAATATTTTGACATAGTTGAAAACAAGATAGGTTACATCATGAAAAGAACATCAACCAATAAAAGGTAACATACTAGTTGCCATAAAAGTCCTCATCAATAACACAATAAAGAAATTGAACTTCAAAGACAAAGACTATGACCAAAGAAAAAATTGACATATGGAATACAAGCTGACATTGCTTAAGTGCAAGGAATCAATCATCAAGGAAAGAGGAGAATCTTGAGAATTCTAAACAACCTAAGGCAGAAAGAAAAAATGGAAAAGCTGAAAGCACAAAACAATTGAAGCTTAGCAATTTTGATGAGAGAGAGGACTTGTGAAGAATTGAAGAACTTGGCCTAGCTTATCTTATCAACTTTGATTGAAGAAGAAAGATGTCTAAATCAAAGAACATAGTGATATATAAGCAATTTTAGAAATGGTAGTGTCTCAAACGCCTAGAACATCACTGACCAAGTGCTTGTAAGCAACCTGAAAAGCCTCTGACCAAAATGAAGCTAATCGTGTAATACTAGTGTGCGTGTAAACATCATAATCCCTAGGGACTAAGAAATGAATGAAGAGGAAAGGACATATACAAGAACAAAAAACTTGATCATGAAGAATCACTTCGATCTTCGGCCACTCAATTGGTGCTGGCAGCTGCAACCATAATAGGGATGATAATGAAGATGGTGAATAGTGATGATGCAACAGCTGATAGAATGATGATAGAGAAGCACTCTCATGCTAGTATGCTTGCATTGCTATATATTTGAAAGGATAAGGTTTTCAGTAGAGCTCATGATGGAGGGTTGGGGTCTAGAGTTTGGGTGGAGCTTGTGAATGGTAGGGGGTAGGGTTAGGGTTTGTGTGAAAAAAATTGGAGGAAAATAGGATTGGATTAAAAAATAAATTGGAGGGATTGCAATTGGGTTTATGAGATTGGGGGGAATATAATTTTTTAGAAAAACAAATTTTTATATAAAAAAATTTTATAAAGTAAAAACAATTATATAGATATATGATATTTTAAAATTTTTTTAAAAATTATATATGACATTATAATTTTTTAGAAAAAATTTATATATAAGAAAATATAAAATAATATTTTTTTGTAAAATAGGTACCTTTTTCTAGAAAAATAAATGAAAGTTAAAAACATTTAAATTCTTATTATTATTTTATTTTGCTATTAAATTTTTAGGGAGGAATGATATTCCTTGCTAATTAGACAAGTTAGAGAGGAACATGTTATTTCTCACTAAATATTTCTTTAGAGAGGAAATTAAATTTCCTCTCAAGATTTATCGCTAGTACAGCCATTTAGATAAAAATAATTAAGTCTTTGCTAAGTTTCCTCACTAATCTAATTTTTTCTAGTAGTGATTGCAATTAGAGAGTTGGAGAATTATAGCAATTGTATTCGAGCTATCAAGCTAATTCAGTACGGGTCAATTGTGGAGCATCCTTTCCAAGACATTATAGAGGATGCTAGATTGCTCTATGATAGAGATTGAAATATTGTGATTCACTATGTTAGGAGGAACCATAACTTTTCTGCTGACTTTCTTGCTCATTTAGCGCATAATTTGGACTCAAATTTTTGTACTTATGATCTCCCCCCACCTCTTCTTTAGGGGGCGGTTGCAGATGATAATGTAGGTCCTCAGATCTTGTATTTCTCTTTTGATTAATGTAAACTTCTTTAAGTAAAAACATATGTTGAAATATTTATATTATATTAGTGATACATACATACATATATACATATATATATATATATATAACTCTCCTTCAATTATCATATCTGTTTTGTCATCTCAGCCCTCTAATAAAATTTTTTGGCTCTATCCTTAGTCCTACATACTATGCTTGTGTAAATGGATTATAGGCAAAAATATTCATAAAATAATATACCATGGTGCAATTTTATCTATTACTTTTAAAAACGATTCAAAAATCTCCAATCCGTAGCAAAAGTATATGTTAGAAAATGTTGACCGTGAATATTAGCAACATTGATATTTTATTTAACTCGAAGGGCGGACATGAAAATACATGTGTTCAAATTTGTTTTAATTGCAGTAGAAACTAACCATGAGCGCACATGTTTTTTTTGGTCATGCATCATAGCCATATAACACAATTTGATTCAGAACCCATGTTGAAGCTACCCTGACTCTTGCCTCTCTCTTTTCCTTGCTATCCAGGTTATTTCAAACCATCTTAGTTCCCTCCCCTCCTGAATATGAAGTGTGACAAAAAAAAATTGTTCTTAAGATTTGTGCTAATTTAGATAAAGAACATATGTATTTCTTCATTTACACTTCAACTCAAACAAAATTTTAATTATTTTAAGGGATAAAAAAACGTTTAGTATCTTATTTTTCTCAATTACTGACTTGGTTCTTTAAGTTTAATTTTTATCAATTTAATTTTTTATATTTTTTTAAATTATCATATCAGTCCTTTAAATTTTAAAATATGAATTAACTCTTAAAATAATTTAATGTGTAAAGTATATTAATGATATAGCATACATACGAAGATAAATGAGAACAAATTAACTATCAAATGAGTTTAATTTTTATCAATATGATTCTTTATAATGTGTTTTGTTAACCTGTTTTTTTTTAAATTTTAGAATTTTTTTTTACCTACCTAAATAATTATATTTCTTTTCATTAATTTGTATGGCTACCATCGATATTTAGATATTCAAGTCAATACATTTCAATAGTGTATCCTCTATTTTAAACAATAAAAATTAAATTGATAATCAAAATAAACATAAGGGACTATTTACTATAAATTAAATTTGAAAGACCAAATTAATAATTAAAACAAACTTGATGATTTAAAAATTGCATTATTCCTTATTTTGGCACTGACAATCAATGTTTGTACCATTTTTTATATTTTATTGGTAAAATTGCACCATAGTACAATAAATGATGCTAGGCTTTTATTATTGTTGGGGTGCGTGGTGGCCACCATGTTTAATTAATCCTCAATATCAACGCAGAGATTTTCTCAAGTCACATTCAGTGCCATGAAATAATGGACACAATCCTCTACATCCATTACGTGCTTCCGCTCACATCCCTAAGTACTGTTACAAAGTCCAAGTCAGTGTACAGTGGCGACTAGCTTCGATTCTCATCAATTCGGCAACATCAGTTACCTTGAAGGAACAGGATTTCTTTTCTTCGATAAGGAAAACAATATATTTAATTAATATCTATTAATCATTTAGATTTCTATAAATTTCAAATTCTAGCAGTACAGTGCTGTCCTACTTGCATTTCATAAATTTTGTATTCAAGTGCCTTTAGATTAACATATACCACTTTCTAGTCTCTCTTCACTCAATCACATTATATATGTGTGTATATATATATATATATATATGCAGCTTCTGCATTTTATACAACATGTTAATTAAAGCAATTGTTTGTGGAAAGAAATATGTTTTCCACCACAATTATACTCATTCTGGTCCTATTTATAAGTTACTTCCAGTATGTTTCACCGGAACTAAAGAAAATCTTAAATCTTATTAACTTTGTCTTAAAATTTAACAAGTTTTCACATGTACCCCTTATAAATGTTCTTAAATCTCATTATTGATATTTTTATTTAAAGCATTTAATAAGAACAAAAATATAAATAGGAGCATTAGGAATTGACAAGTGTCCTATAAATATGATCAATTTTTTCCCTCTACCCTATAAATAAGACCAGAAGAGTATCATATAACATAATCAAATATAGGATAACAAATACGCTACAATATAACATTGCATAATATAACACTACATAATATTTCAATCTTATTAAGACTTGTTTTATCAAGCCTTATCTCATACAATATCCCATCAGGCTAGGGAATTCTACCCATACCACAATTCCTTTATTTTCTTGATATAAATAGAGAGTTTCGGACTTTTTAAATAAAGCCCTCATATTGTTTTATTCCGACTTATATTTGCCACCCAAGATGAGATTACAAGGGCTACGGACAATTTGAGTTTCTCCCAGGACCGCCATAGTAGAAGTAGACACCCGAATCATTTGAATAGTCATAAGAGGTAATATTGTAGCAATAGGCATTGGTAACGTAAGGGTTAAAGTTTTTAGGAGAGACAAGATCATTATTTGCATTAACAATAGAAATGTGCTTGAAAAAGCTAGCCTTCCCATAACCTTCTTCAGGAAAATGGCCACTTCCCATGCCTGTTGTGGTGTGTTGCCCATTAGATCCCTTGTTTACTATTTCACCACCCCACTTTACATGTGATGCACCCACAGACATGTGATTGAACAAAGAATCTGGCCAGTATCCTACAGATGTATTCCCGACATGCATCCACCAGTTTCCAGTTGTTTGATCCTGCTCAATCGTTATTATTATTATTATTATTATTATTATTATACCAAATTATAGCAGAATCATATGATATTGTGCCATTAGAGATTCTTTGAAGCTTATTATTGGTGATTTGAATTGTTTTGATTTCTCAAGGAGTATATGTTCTCACAAAATAATTAAAGAAAGAAGAAATTGATATCTAGTTTTCTGGGGGATTCATTTGTAAAAAGTGCAGGGACCAATGGAATAAATGTATAAAACTTGAGGACCTAAGTCACACCAAGTTTAACTTTAAGCGGGAATTAGTAAATAGGCAATACCTTCCTGATGTGGATGGATAAAACATATTGAGAACCACCATAGACAGATATATTATTTTGTAGGCTGCTTCCCACCACTACTGTGGGATCAACTTGAACAAAGCCAGGGCAACGAAGGTTATAACATCCAGTATTGTTATACGAGTCTCTCTGTGGGATGAAAAAGGTATATATTAATTAAAAGTAATAAAACAATTATTAACAACACGAATACAATGGCTTGATGAAACAAGAAATCATATGCTGGTAAGAAATTTGAACTTACTGTCCAATATGTAAAAAGTCTAGGGTTGTCATCCCCATATATTCCTGGGTAGATCTAATTTTCAAGATCGGGAAACAGTAAATAAGAGAATTAGATGGACAAAAAGTAGTATTTGTTGGGGAAAAAAAACTGTATAAAAATGTATTCATCCATCATGCGCACGTGTGATTTGGAAGAAATTATAGAATACCTGCCAGCCAGCTTCGATGGTCTCATGATTTTTAGGATCATCATGATTCGTAATCCAAATTTGAGAGAGACTAAATTCATCGGATTGTTGAACATTGGGCTTCCAAATGTTTATAGATGCATGGGCCCCATAATATCTATCTCCCGTCAAAGTAGCTACAGCGTACTAGAGGCACCAGAACAAACAATGAAACAGGAAAAATATATTACACTATGCAAAACACACAAACAAGCATTTTTTTTTTTTAAATGAAGCAAATTACAAGCCTTGTATTTCAAGATATTGATATATATATATATATATATGGAAAATAGTAGTACCTCGTGCGTTGAACTTGCAGAGTTTAATGATCCAGACAGATCAAGGATGCTGTGGCTGATCTTCTTCCCAGATTGTTGGATAGAATCTGCCCTCAATATGTCATCTTTTGTTGTTCTTCTTATAGGAACGGTCCCTTTTGGACAACTACCACTTTGGTGCCACATTTGAGGAATTGGCTTTGATTCACCTAACCTTCTTATCCCTTTTGGAAGAAATTTTGGCCTCATCTTCATGGAATGGGATATAATTGGCCTCGGAACTATATTGTTAAAAAATCCAATATGACAAAAAAGACAAGTTAAGATAAATTATTTACCTGAATTTTGTGATTTTTGAGTTTTGGATGATCAAAAGCTGGTTGATTTAAAATATGCACGCAGTCGATCATGTCACCATCAGGGCTCTGCTTTTTATAATACAAAATGTTAATCCAAATGTATAAGTAAATTATAATTAAAACCCAGAAAAAACTTCTCTTAACTATACTCAAAGACCAAAAAAAAAAATGTATGTTGCCTGATTATATCTTCTATAACATATAGCCTAGAACATTGACCGCCAAATGCAAAAGAAAAGACTTAATATCTTTAATTTTTTACATAAAAGGTCGTCTTCTTTCATCACCTCGAACATCGCAAACATGGATAGAAAAGGCCCAAATTAACTTTCTACAAATATAGTTTTGAAAAAGCAAAAGAAAAAAAAATACTTTAAAAAAAATTAGAAGCCAAACACACGCAGACCTAAAGTAGAAGTTAAAAAAGGTTTAATAGTGTTGAAGTTTTCTTCTGTGTAGAAACATTTGAATTAAAATGTGAGTCGTCATGAAACTAGCCGAAGAAGTTAAACTGTATACCTTGATAGACTTAACAGCTGGTTTATTCAACTTCTTAAAAAGCTTCTCTACCTCAAGTTCCTTATCAAATCCTTCATCGCCAGTGGAGGCCGTGGCAAGCACCAAAGACAAGAAGAAGCAGAACACCACACTCACTGTCCAAGTGATGTTTTCATTTCCTAGTTTCGCCATTGAAGCTGAGAAATTGGGAGCAAGCACCTAAACGAATTAAAGTTCTCACGTGGATATTCACCATGACTTGATCGTGGACAAATTTATAGGACCATTTATGCTTTTCGAAATTACTTGATTATCCTTTTCGTGTTTATTTTTCCTGCCTCTACTGTCACACCATAAATATTTTGCTGTCTCACGTAATCTTGTCTGATTAGGTTAGGCTTGTCTCGTGTATTTTCTGCCCAAAAACGTGTTTACAGTTTTTAGAAAAAATCTACATACAAATGCAATCTTAATTTTCATAAATATATATATATATATATATTTATTTATTTTTTTATCCTTACTCTTGATTATCAAAGCATTACGTATTGAGTGAGAGATACATTTACAATATCTAGATTAATAAATATTAGGGGTAAAATGGAGAATTTTTTTTTTAATATATACTAGGTTAAGTTAGCTGAGAGAAAATACTTATATTTTGAAATAGAGGGAGCACTTATTTCAAGCTTGACCCAAGTAAAAATTAAGCCTGTAAACTAGTTTTTTTTTCTCCTTTTATTTTTAAAATTTTAGTTTATTTATTTCAATATTACATATTCTTTTTCTAAAATATAAATAATAATGTTAAAAAATTTAATATGGTAATATAAATTGTAACTTTAAAGTATAAATATTTTTTTAAAAGTCTAAATTTACTTTTAAAATTAAAATATTTTATTTTTAGGGGTGAAATGGAAAAGAGTTTGAACAGGCTGTGAGCCTAAGCTCATTTTTATAGTGCTTAAACGGGAATGGGCTTAGAAGCCTATTTATATTAAAAATTTTAATTTTTCAAGATCAAATCCTAAAAAATAAGAGTTTAAAGGAGCGATTCATATTCTCAGCTCTGCTTCATGCGCAAAGAAGAGGCATTTTAAGTAACATCATGAGGTTCAACAAATAGATAATTAAATATATTTTATTATAAAATTAATTTTTAGAGACAATTAATGTGTCTGAACTCAGACACAATTATGGTGACAAGCCTTGGGGAGCTTGTCGCCATAATGAACCATTGTAGGGGCCTTTCACTATAATTTTGTCTAAATTTAGAAAAAATTAATGTGTTCAAGTTCAGACCCAATTAATTCATTAATTAAGTTTTTTTAATTAATTTTTAATTGTGTCTAAATCATTTATGGTGACAGGACGAGCCTCTCACAATAATTGTGTCTAAATTGAGACATAATTAATGTGTCTAACTTCAACATTAATGGTTTTCAATTATTTTATCTGTAATTTAAAACTATCATTTTAACTTTTTATAATTGTATTTTTAATAGAGACATTATTATCGTTACACTCTAATTTCAAATTATACTTAAATCTTAAGGGATTTGAATGTGGTTTCTAAATTTTGTTAGAATTATTTGTAAATAAGCTTGTTTCACATAACCTATATGTGATTTTTTCTTGTTTTTGACTTTTTCCAAAAACATCTTACTCACCTTAATATTTGATTTAGTTAAAACTTAGTCCTTAAATTATAATTCGGTGTAGGTTAGTCCTTATAATTTTAGCTTGATTAAAACTCAATTTATGAACTTCGAATAGATGCAATTAAGTCTTAAAATTTAAACTATTTAAAATATAAATTCTTATATTTTAAAAATAAAAGTATAAGCACTTATGTCATTCCTTAAAATTTAGCGACTGATAGTTTAAATTATTAAAATGATATGAACTAGAGTGAATTTAGGGATTGATATGTGTGCGCGCGCACGCGCCTTTCAGTGGATTCTAGTGATCTGATTGGTTGCTATTGAATATTAATATTGCACTAATTCCTCAAGTTTACTCACTCAATAAGTATCTCAATTATAGCCATTTAATTTCATTAATCCTTAAAATTATCAAAATATATTTTTCTCTAAATATTCAAAATAATTCCCATGATAATTATTACACACTTTATCCCCTCCAAAAAATTTAATTTTAATGTGAAAATGCCCATAAAATCCCACATAAATATATAAATGACAATCATATCTCTCGAAATACTATAATTCTTTTGAAGTCCTTGAGGACCTTTCTGACATTAATAAGTTTAAGTCAAATGAGTAAATGGCCTCTTGTTTAAAATAAAAATAATGGGTTTTGGCTCCATTTTTTCAATTACAATTTTTGTTTAAATAATCACAACTTTAATTTTGCCAATTGCAAAAATTAAATAAAAAATCACAAAAAAATAAGTTTTAAAAATAAATAGTCCCAATCACAACTTTTTATTTAAGTAATCACAATTTTGATTTGGTGAATCGTAAACATTGAACAAGAAATCGCAACTTCCCATATGAAATTTTTTTATCATCGAAATTCAAGTTCTAAAAATAACTAATCACAATTATTATTTAAATAACCACAACCATTATTCTGTGAATCGCATAAATTGCACAAGAAATCACAACTTCACACATGAAATTTCTTTTTTCATTGAAGTCCAAGTCTTGAAAATGATCAATTACAGCTTTTATTTAAGCAATCATGATTTTTATTTTGTGAATTGCAAGAATTGAATAAGAAATCATAATTTCTCACATGAATTAGTTATTTTTTTATTTTAAATAAGGGGTAATTTAGTCATTTAACATAAAATTATTAATGTCAAAAAATATTTAAGAATGTTTAAGAAATTATAGCATTTTAAAAGATCTAATTATCATTTATATATTTCGATAAAATTTCTAGGACTTGATTGTGCACAAATTTCTAGGACTACTTATGCTTTTCAGAAATTATGAGAATATCCTTTTTTTGTGGAAATTATTTGTTTATTTGTCTTCCTTCACTGTCATGATCACCATAAATATTTTGGATCACATGTGGAATCAACTGTGAAAATGCCAAACTTAATAATTGGGGGAATGGCATTAAGGGCCCTAAAAATAGAGTTTATTTCACTTAGGGCCTAAATGAATCTAACATTGCTCTACAGGCCTTGAGGCCTCAAGTGCAATATTTCTTTAGAAAAAAAAACTATTTTGCCCTTAATGGATAGAAATGAAATTAAATGCAGAGAATGAATGACAGACACGCAAGAATGGGTATTCAGTTGGAGAATGGGAAGGTTTCTGATCTCTAATGGGGAGGAGTAACTTTTGAGCTACATAAATTTCAAAATCTCTCTATCTTGAGCAGTGCTTTGATGATTTCAAGATCTCACTGGAGGTTTTTAGGTTTCTCACATTGTTGCAGCAAAAATGAACTGAGATTTTTACTTTTCTTGTTGTAGAAATGAGAGGCATCTGTTGTTGTTGCATAAATCATTTAAGGGTAGAAATAATTTAAGGTTATTGTTGCATGTCAGTTGCTGGTGAAGTGGAGACAGAGATGATCTTCACTCATTTAATATGTAGTGGTTCATTTAATGAAAGCATTTGATGAGTTTTACATAAGGTAGTAGGATGCATATGAGATGGACTTTTTATTATACAAAGTTAAATGTGATATTGTTGAAATTGAAATTTTATTTGTGATTCTACTGCTGATATGAGGTAAAGATTGCTAAACTATTTTGGCCATGAAAGTTTTAGAGTGGATTAGTTGTTGTCAATAATAATGGTTGACTTCTTTATATTGAAATTTTACATGTGAGCTGAATAAAATATGATCCAATATGAAAAAAATCTTCTATCAAAAATGTTGGAGTATTTGTTGTGCAAAAATGAAGTTTGAGTTGTTTTTGTTGAATATTGAGTTGTGCATTATGTTAAGCCTAGCCTGATGATAAATTAGAATCACATGATATTTAGGTGAGAATATATGAACTTTGTATTGTACATAGTGGATAATATGTTGTGCCATGTTTGCCTAACTTGAGCATTCCTTTTATTAAGACTAGTCTAATAATAAACAGGAATAATATGGACTTTTAGGTGAGAATTTATGAATCTTGTATTATACATAGTGGATATTATGTTATACATTATTTGCCTACTTGTGCAATTTGTTGAGGAAGCCTAACCTACTGATATAAGCTAAAGGTTGCTAAACCATTAAGTTGGTTCTGGTGAGATATGAAAGAACTTTGTGTTGTGCAAAGTAGATATTATGTTGTACCATATTTGCCTAACTTGAGCATTCCTTTTATTAAGTCTAGCCTAATGATAAACTAGAATAACATGGACTTTTAAGTGAGAATATATGAACTTTGTGTTATTCATAGTGGATATTGTGTTATACATTATTTGCCTACTTGTGCAATTTGTTAACAAAGCCTAACTTACTGATAGAAGCTAAAGGTTGTTGAACCATTAAGTTGATTATGAAAGTTTTAGAGTGGATTAGTTGTTGTACAATATCTATGGTTAACCTGTTGATCTTGAATTTTGACATGTGAATTGAATACAATATGACTTCTAATGTGAAAAAATCTACTGTCAAAGACGTTAGAGTATCTGTTATGTGAAAATGAACTTTGAGTTGCTTATATTAAACTTTGTGTTGTGTAAAATAAAAGTTGGGTTTCTGTATGTAAACATTTACCTAGATTAATTTGTTCATTACAGGTTAATATAAGAGATGGAAAGTAGTTCTGGAGAAAAATTGTCTTGTTTCTTTCACTATGGCGGTAAATTTGTGAGGAGTGTTGATAGTGGTATAAAGTATAAGGGTGGAAATGTAATTGCAAGAACTATAACAAAAAGAATGAAATATACAAAGATAAGATCATTTATATCTTCAGAAGTTTGCCATAGTGATAATGAAAATGACATAAAGTTCATTGTCGAGATTGATTCAAGCACATTCATAGATTTTCTTGATGATATTGGAGTTGAACAATTGTTTGAATACAATGGAAGAACTGCTCATGTGTATGTTACTAGATGAGCTGCACTTGAAGATGATCCTGAAGAGTAAGTACTGACATTCATGTTAATTGGGTCAAAAAATGCATTGTCAGGAATAATGGATTATATGTTATGCAAACATGAATATTTACTTGTTTATATTGAATGGTTAGTCGTATAAACTAAGTTATTAATAAGAGCACTAATAATGTGGTA